GAGCCAATACATCAAGAAGAGTAGTTTTTCCAGCCCCAGAAGAACCCATCAGGGCACCCAGCATACCAGGTTTAACCCAACCGTAGACATTATCCAGGAGCACGCGATCACCGGTAGGCGTTTTTACGGTATATGTCAAGTCTTTCCAGGTGAAAACGGACGTGTTGCGGACCAGTTGGTTGTCAAGATCACCCTCCTCAGAGCTGCCATCGTTACGCTTCTTCTCTTTCTCATTCACCTGGGACTCTTCATCGAAGCGGGCAACCTGCTTATCCAGCCTCTCGCGGGGAATCAAAAGCGTGTTTCCAGTTTCAGAAGCAGCCTTCCACCGGGACGTGGCAATGATCGTGACGGCCACGAACAAAGCCCACCAGGCCCATAGGATACCGAAGTTACGCCAGACATGGTTGTGGCTGTAGGACAATGAAGCTAGATACTGATCTCCCGTCACATAGTTGTTGCCTTGGATAGCGCCACCAACACCGGCACAGGATTGATAGTCGGCTACATTCTCATACCCAGGACCAGTAGGAATGAGGTTGGTGCCCACACAAGGAATGATCTTGTTGTGGAACTCGCTCGAAAGTAGGGCATCAAAACCGTATGCAAGGGGGTTGATCCAGTAGATCCAGCCAAACCAGGGATGCATCTGCGGCTTCGTGATCATATAGCCGGTGTACATGATCAGGGCGGAAATGAGGAAACCGGAAACCTTGGAGGCGCCGTCGAATGTCGTGAAGAGTGCTCCAACCGCACGGAACAATGCGGTCATAACCTACACAATACAATTCAGTTAGCTCATTGCTATACTTCTAACTTTGATAACAGGATTCCATGTGGGTGGGGGTGGGTGCCCTTACCATTGTCGTAGCAAAAACCAAGATCCAATAAGTGAAGAAGCCAGACGCACTCATTGTGAGGCCCACCATGAAATAGACCACAAGGGAAAAGATACTGATCTGAAACAGGAGGACCGGGATATCGGCAGCGATCTGAGCGATACAGAAAGCAGCTGGGTGGAAGAAAGCGAAACCTTTATGTTTGACCAGGACTGGCCGACCACTGAATGAATCGGTCACTTCAGACATGGATAGCAAACTGTTATAAAGCAACGAAAAGAAAAGAGCACCAGACTTGACAAATAGACCTCCTGAATTGTTGGGCGCATTGTAAAACAGGGATCCTGCAATCAAGGCCTGGGCTAAGGTCGACACCTGTTTGATGATAAAAGTGGCTTTATCACCCCAAAGGATCTGGTACTGACGAGCGATACAGGCTTTGACCTGCTGAACAAAATCGACCGTCATCGGGCTGTTTTTCGGCAGCTTCTTGCTCCTGTCGTGCGAAATTGCCATCTCGAAGTTCTCGGTGCGTTCCCGGGCGATATCGGAGTCGGGATAGTCGTATTCTGCCATCATTTGAGCACGGATGGGAGACTTCTCATATTCCGCCAGGAGCATATCGGCATTGCGAGGAAATCGGTTCTCATATCCGGGCCGGATCTTGCGTTCCGTGGGAACAGTCACACCAGTCAGGAAGTCAGCTACGTTAGACCCCTCCCGGCAGACGAAACCCAGGTCCTCCATGAATGGCCTTGCCTGGGACATGGGCCCGTAATAAACCTGCTTGCCCTCATCCAAGACCAGTACCTTATCGAACAAGTCATAGATTCCATTGCCCGCCTGGTAAAGCGTTACAATGGTCGACAGGCCCATAACATCTGTCAAGGCTCGAATGGCTTTGGTCCACTCGAGAGCTGTGCTGGCGTCTAAACCACGTGTACTGTTATCCCAGCAAAACACTGACCCACGAGAGGCCATACATTCTATGATTGAGACACGTTTGCGCTCACCACCGGAAACACCTCGAACATACTCGTTACCGACCTTCGTATCGTTCGTGTGTGAGATTCCCATGGCTTCCAGCAAAAACTTCTTCATTTCCAGGCGATACTCTTCTGCTGACTCCACGCCTTTGGGGAGGTTGAATGGAATCTTGAGCCGGGTTGCGAAGTCCATCGTCTGACCCACTGTCAGTGTGGGGAAGAATAATTCTTCTTCGGTGTTCATAACAATTTGGCCATGATAGCGATCAGCTTCTTTGTGGGTGAGCGACCCAAAACGGACGTCACCCTCCACCGATTTATATCCAAGTCGTCGATTCGAGAGCATTTTGAGCAGGGTCGTACAACCTGATCCCGGCCGACCTAACACGAGAAGCATTTCCCCGGGTTTCACGCAGCCATGGCTATTCTGAAGAATCGAGCGGAGGGGCGGTTTGTTGCGACCATCTTTGATTTTCTGGGGGATGTTGAACTGGGATAGGAAGTTTTCGTTGACGGCGGCCTCAGAACTAACCACTTCGACGTTCACATTCTTCCAGGTGACGCCGAGTTCACGACTCTTGAAACCGGACGCCACATCTCGTTCATGTTGCTGTTTAACTTGTGGCATCAGGCTCCAGTCTTCGGCGCGGCTGACATTGGCAGGGCGGGGGGTTGGCGCAGACTCATCACCCATCACCGTAGCTGTGCTGTCGGTATCATCTCTGTTGTCCGAAGGCGGCGCCTTCGCATAGTAATCCTGACCCTCCATGGCTTGAGGGAAGCTTGGACCACAGTCAGACTAAAGGAAGCTTTCCGGCAACGTACACACCGAGAAAGAAAATCTTCCATCACGAGGATGGGACGGGCAACGAAGTATATAAGCACAATGCTCTCGGGTGGGTCTGGGGGCCTGAGACCAGGCCTGCACCGAGTTCACATTTAAGCGACCCACCAGGCATGGGATCGAGGCTCCAGCAAACTCCATAGTTTACTGGGATTTATCATTCGTTAGCGGCTTCATATTACTCAAACGTGGCCGCCATCAAGTCATTGTCGCGGGAAAAGGAGTAAAAAAGGTCGACCTTCCGAGCGGTGGGGCCTAAAGCCAGTGGTTATCTCCGAAAGGTTCTGCGCCGTTTCAAACCAATCAACGGATGGGGAAGGGGAAACGTTCAAGCTTACATGCAAGTCCCTTCCAGAATTTGCGTGTCAAGCAGCAAACTCATTTGTCGATCAGGACCCTATAGTGTTGGATAGTTTGGGTTCGGAGTCCGGTCTTCTACTGACCGATCGGGGCTAATCTCGTTTTTCCTTCCGATGACTCAGCGGCTGTCGGCCCATCGGTGTTCTTGATTGGCTCCTTGGCGCTTTTCAAAGTCCGAATACTTCCGCTGAGTCAGCGGGACGCTCCTCTTCAGGTTTAGCGCGGGGAGCTGTCTTCCGACCGTTCTGTCAACTTTCCATCTGATAATTGATCGTCTCGGCTGTGGCGCAGAAATTTCCCATTTCCATTTTATGTTTTTTTAATTTGCCCCTTTGTTGTCTACCTAATCTTTTCTATTCTCGCGTCAGCCCGATTGTTAAGCGGCTATAGCCACGTTCCTGTTCCTATCTAAATCCCGGGCGAAGTCACCACCACCACCACCACCACCACCACCACCACCATGACGGAACACTGGAGCCTGTGAGTTTGTCGAAAGAGGAAACGAAAAGCGCTTTAACATTGAAAAATGGGTGGAGAGCAACATCATCGATAACTTGACCTGTCGACTTCCAGGTAATCATCTGCGCAAGTACCATGCGGCGTTTGTCTCTATCTCATAAATCTCAACTATCAACTTCAACTAGATGAGACGGTGAACTTGCGCAAAAAGATACCACGATAATGATTTGCGGCCATGGCAAACTCTCATTCTGCTCTATCTACTCTGTATCGTGACTCACCTTCATCCCTCACATAGAGCATGAATCCTCACACATGCCAAGACTAATGTTATTGGTAATCTATGTCGTAAAAGACCCCATATCTCGTGTTTGGTTGACACCGACGCTCCGAAAATACTATTAATATTCGGATTCTTTTCTTTTTTTCCCTTTTTTTTTTTTTTTTTTTTTTTGTCATCCATTCTAGTTAGGGCACTGATGAATGTTCGGGCCATGTGGGCAGCTTCCGACACTACTCCTGATATGGTTAGGCTTGCGAATAGACAGCATCGCGGCCTGCTTCTAGAACGTGCTTCTTCTACTTGTCCCTCCCTTCCTATACTCATGTGAACTCGAACTAGCTCATATACAAGGTAGCAATCAGTATGACGTTATCGTATACCCAGCTGAAAATTCAACAAAGATTGATTAGTAGTGCTTTACAAATGCATTAACTCCAGGGAATCCTCCAAGTGCATGCTAAGTCCTGTGGGCTATCCGTCTTGTGGTTTTACAAAACAAGGAGACGGAATGGAAGTCTCCTATACTTCCACTCTTAGGTTCAGAGCTGTTCTGCGACACTCAATGCTGCCTCGTGCAATTCGACAACCTTATTGAAGACAACCCTGTTCTCCAGGCTTAGAAGCAACTGCATGCCCCTTGAGGTATGGTTCCAATCCATTAGAAAGGACTACTGTCACGAAGCAGGGTTTCAGGGACTCTTAGGGCAATCACTCAAGTCGTAGAAAGTACCCACTTCTCCAGTAGCTATGTAATGTAAAATCTACCTCACCGCTCTTTGACTGCGGATGGGCATAGTCGGCGTATCAAGCAGATCACAAGAGCATACAAAGTAGTTTCAGAGTTGTCAATGTCATTATTTCTTGTCGCGGTCTGTTTATATGGTGATTACTTGCTAGAGTCTTTGGCCATGGAGTCCACCTCGTTCAAGAAACTCCACAGCGACATATATAATGTCAGAAATAGCAGCATGATGCAAGGGTGTTTGTCCTTCATGGCCTACTATTGGGCAATACGGGAAACCCCCTAGAGCCACGTGCAGAGGTGCATTTACGGATCGGGCGTTCGTGTTTACTATGAGATGGACTAGTGAGTCCCAATCGTAATTTGTCTTATTCGAGTCAAACATTAAGGATATGCCGGCGACTTTCTGAAACACCGCCGTCTCATGCCGAATTCGAGAACATCGTTAAATCCGACTGGAAGACAAACCTTGAGTATATGAATATTATAATTTTCATGCACAAATGAAACCCTCACATCAAAAGGCTCAGATCGAAAATTTTAAGGCCTCCACTCAACTTTAGACCGGGCCAAATATACACAACTCTTTATATCCATACATCACATCGTAAGAAAAAACGGCGCAAATAAAGTCCACTCACAGCACAATCTCCCCTTCGCCATCAGGTCTCTCAAACCCGGTAAGGTACCGTTCCAGGATCTCCTCCGTTACATAAAACGCCGAGTCCCCATCCTTATCAACCCGCTCATTCCGAGCTCGAACCCTCCGTCGGAGTTCTGCAGCATCAACATCCAAAAACACCAGTACCCATCTTCCTCCTGACCCCTCGATTAATCCCTTCCACTCCTCACGTACCTCGCGATATGCAAACGAGAAGTCCAGCACGAGATCTACCTGTCCTCCGGTCAATGCGGAGATAAGTTCAGTCCGTAGTGCTTCTTCGGCTTCGAGTTGGTACTCTTCGTACTGATCTCGGGGATAGTCGACATCCCAGAGACCGTGATGTGAATAAACGTAGGAGTCGATGGAGAGACGGTGAAAGGATGGATACGCGGAGACGATTGAGTGGGCTAGTGTTGACTTTCCGGAACCTGGTGATAAATTAACTCCTGTAGTGTAGATAGTAATGTCATGAAGAAAGGAGGTTTCTACCTGCGATGCCGCAGGTCATTAGAACTACGGGTCGGGGATCAGCTGCTGTGCGGCATAGATGAGGATGAAGGTGTGCATGTGCATGGTCTATTTGGGGGTTTGTGATGCTGACGGGAGTAGATGGCATTGTTGTAGTTTGTAGAAGATTGAGCTATGGACCCATGCTCACTGGTGGGGGAGTTTCATGTATACATAGTCCTGTTCTATACAGTTATGGATGACTCAACAGGCCATCGTTGAAGCGAGTTGTTGATTATTACTCTAGAGCATGGGCTGCATCGTGAGTCATCGGGTAGATTAAGCTTATCAACTTTGAGTATCGAGCATCTCATGACGATAATTAGATTTGGTGCTCCAGGATGGATGAATAGCGGTAATATATTGAAAAATAATAACTTGGATAGTTATTAGAGTAGTGATACAGAAATTGGGTACTGGCCTGTAATGCTGTGAGGTTGATTGATAGGCAGTACAAAAAGAGTTCTCTGAAAGGAGAAATATATATATATATATATAACCGACACTAAGCACCATACTCATCGATCGAAGCTATGCCCAATGGAGGCCAATTGAGGGATAAAAGCCTCACAGAAATGATTGTATAATAAAATAGAAATTCAGCCCTAAAAAAGACAAGAAAGAGATAAGAAACTAGAAAAGAACAAAAGAGATGTACGTAGTAAAATTGACAAAAAAGGATGGAGACGCGGGGAATCGAACCCCGGACCACTCCCATGCTAAGGGAGTATTATACCACTAAACCACATCCCCAATTCGATATTTGGGAGCTATGACTTTGACAATATAGGCCTAAACTATTATTTTGAAGCTTGAGACATTCGCAAATTTGAGTTTAGAGTGTAATATCCCAAATGGGTTAGACTGATCGTGGCGCAAGTATAAACAGCAACGAATAGACCAACAATGAAGTTGAATACTATGACAGCTCAACATCACATAAGAATAGAGTCGTATTTAGACCAGCATACCAAGCTCTCTGCATACAGACTCTGAATCCTCGTCATCTCCCCACCCCACCGGCTAAACAAAATCCATGCAAAGAACAATGTCAAAAACTCATGACAAAGTACTCACCTTCTGGTTTGGCCAGAAAGGCTCCCGAGAGTATCTTCAACAAAAGTCATTTTGGTACGGAAGTTCATCCGACGACACCTACGTTCGCAAGCACCTCGGGCCCGACTACGAAGCCGCCAAAACGGGGGCCCTCGATGATTGGAAGTTTGACGGCCAGGGCGAGGGCGCACTAGCTCTAATCCTTCTCCTGGACCAAGTACCCCGAAATATCTTCCGCGACACCCCGCAAGCTTATGCAACGGACTCCAAGGCAGTTGCTGTAGCGCGATATGCCGTGGACCAGGGCTGGGATAAGAGCATGCCCGCGATCCAGCGACGATATATGTATTCGCCGTTCAATCATTCAGAGAATCTGGAAGATCAGGAGATGTCGTTGAAGTTATTCACGGAGCTGGGAGATAGTTATCACTTGCATTGGGCAAGGAACTTCCACGACCAGATCAAGCGGGATGGGAGGTTTGTGCATCGTGATCGGATTCTGGGCCGATAAATCATATGACCGGTGATAGCAACGCCTAGTGTCATGTGTATCGATAGAGCAATATATCAGTAAAATGAAGTTTGTTTAATACCGCATTGAGAGGGTCTACTCTGCCTCTAGACGATCAGTGCGAGTTGGAGGACAAGGGGATGTCCTGCTGGCAGTGCGCCAAAGCACTGGGCTTACCCAGCATAGCAGCATTTCAGATTCCAAATATAAGCATAGTCACTATAAACTGAATTAGACAAGTACTTATCACAGGCCCCACTGCAATACATGAGTACCCAGCTGCTCTGAGGACTATTTATCAGATACTGAAAATGGCCAGGCTTTGGACCAAAGCGACCGTTCATCGTCAGTTGTAGCCACTTGCATGAACAGACGGCCCTGAACATCCAGCACTAGCTGCTTCCTGGCCCCATAGTCTGCATGACTGTCGAAGCCGTCTCAGCCACGATAGGCACCGAGTTGGTCAAGGATTTCATCCATGAGAATCACGCCTCCCTCCCACTTTGCCTGATCTTCCCTCTGCCGAGACCTCTTTTCTTCCGTGAAGCTGTTCGGGCATAGTACGAGCGGTCGCCCTTCTGTGTCTTGACCAACGATCTCCGCCCACCTATCCACAACTTGCATCAAGCAACCTAGAACGATAGGCTCACCGTCGGTGAAGAGCGAGCCTGGTAGTGCCGCGATCTGACTCACAAGGGTGTCTCGCAAGCGCAAGGCATTGCCGGCATCTCTACACTGTCTCAATAGTTCGATCTCATAGAACACGTATAGTGATTGGTCGGCATGGGGTTTCTTCACTCATTGCTTTTCCTCGACATTCAATTCCTTAAAGTTCTCAGGTAAAACAGGTAATTTGGGACTTTCAGAAAGGGGGGCGTCGAACTCAAGGAGTCCAGGACGGCGAACTTGAAGAAAGAGGGGGGGATATGCGCAATTGCCAGTCGATCACACCAGTTATTCTTGTGGGTTCCTCTGGGTCCACGAAAATGTTATCCGTGTGAAGATCTGAATGCCACAGCACAGGTCGGTGTGTTGCCTTGTTTTGAGGTAGTAAGTATTTGGCTACTTGGGTATAACAGCCCAATGCTCGAAGTCTGGCTGCTTTAGATGACTGGTACTGTCCAGGTCCATTGAAGAGACCCTGTAACTGAGGTGAGGCACCCAAATAAAGGATTGATTCATTTTCCCGTTGTGCATTGACAATGAAATATTCTTCCACAGTTGCTCCTATGCAAAATTAATCCGGAGCATTAAGGTTCGGATATCGAGTACTCACAAGGTCCATGGTATAGAGTAAGGGTTCCTCGTCCGTCGTCAAGATATTTCCGATTAGTGGTGGGACCGACCACGAAATTGTCACCGCACGCTCCATCCTCAGCGAAGTACAAGATTCCGTATCCTGGGAAAGGCTTTGATGCTAAAGCTTTGCCAAACGTAGCAAGCTGTGTCACAATTTGTGATTTCTTTTTTTGGCATGCATATCATCCCAGAAATGAGACAGCTTCACCCCAGGCACCTTCTCCATGATAAGAATTCGCTACCGACAGGGGACTCGCTCGCGTTAGAACACCACGCGAAGACTTTCGGAGCAGGGATATGTAGAACATTCCTCACCTAGTAGAACTGATCAATTGTGATTCGTATTTTATAAAGGCAAAGATTCGTGACTGTACAAACTGGATGCCTGCAATCTCACTGGCGGTAGTGAAGCAGGGGTGGCCTGCATTTAGATTCAGGATTTTTGCAATCACTTCCTTCCCGTCATTCATAGTCAAAAGCAAGGCTTTGTTGAAATTGCCTTCAGTTAGCTTCGTGACATCTATGCTAGACGTGGCCCATACTGATTGGGCCGCAACAGAACAGAGAGCTTCAACATTGAAGGCAACATAGCGAGCAGCTAATTGTTTCTTTTCAGCCCACAGCCATCTCCCAGAAGTGAACTGGAAAATGGAGTACCATAGATCATCTATCAGGACTCAGTGATTGCTGTGAAATTGGAATATCTACTACCAAGTAATCTCCTACCCCTGCTGAGACATCCACAAGTAGTGTCTTGAGTGGAAAGACACCGGAATATATCGGTAAATGAGCTCGTCTTCAACTTCACAAATTTTGATGAGGTCAAACTACTGGGTCTTATCCTTCTACGAAAGAAAGAGAACATGACTGAAGAAGCTATTTGTTGTTTTAAGGAATTGCTGGTACGAAAGGGACGATTCCATCTCTGGCTTACTAATCAACCCTGTAGCCCTACGACGACAGCACCTCATACTTCCATGCAGGGAGAAGAAAGGTTAAGGAGCCTTGGATCTGCAAAGTAACCTTATCTAACGTGTATCATGGCCCTCGAGATTTCCCTAGAGGATAACTACTGCTACGACAGAATCAAGAGGCAAAAAGCCAAACAGTTTGCCTCACATGTCGTTGACGTCACTACCAGCTGTCAACGAACCATAAGGGTGGGAGGTTTTGCTCTACCAGTTCTTCATTTTGATTCAACCAAGAAAAACCATGGTACGTGTCTTGGCAGATACTTTGTTATCACTTCCTTGCTTAGAATGATAAAGCGTCTACAAACATCTATGCATTCTTCAAACGGCTCAAGATTCAACTGTCTGCATGAAGAGAACAATTATGGTTAGTTTGGTAGGTAGACAATCAGAAGTCTCAACTTTTATTCTTCTTATCAGAAAAGCCTTCGGTTTGCGGAATTCATCATGGTATGGAGTCAGATCAACCCTACAGCACTCCATCTCAGCTTCTTGTTCCTGTCGGGCAGTATCCTCCTCTATACTGTGCTTTCACGTTTTCTAAAAGAAACACTCCTTCTGGCAGAACCCCCGCTTGCTACGTTGGTCGGAATTCTGACTGGACCCGCGGTATTGGGTGCTGTCGAGCCTCAGCCGTGGAAGCTCGGCGATCATGTCACCAAGGAACTAGCACGAATCACTGCAAGTATGCAGGTATTCATCGTGGGCATTGAGCTCCCTGAGGGATATTGCAGAAAGCACTGGAAAGGGATTGGCATTCTTCTGGGCCCCGTTATGATAGGTGGCTGGATAGTGTGCGCGACCCTGATCCATCTGGTCTTCGGTGCTAGCTACCCGTCTGCGCTCGTTATCAGCGCTTGCCTCACTCCCACCGATCCGGTGCTGGTCGCGACCATCCTGGAGGATCCCAAGGCAACTAGTGACCGTATTAAGTATCTTCTGGCCGCGGAGTCTGGTGTGAATGATGGAACCTCATTCCCCTTCCTATATCTCGGGATTTTCATCCTGAAGGAGCATTCGGTTGGTGCCGTGCTGCGGGAATACTTGACGGTGACAATAGCCTACCAATGTATTGCGAGTGTTGCTGTTGGGATAAGTCTCGGTTATGGAGCGAACAGACTCCTCCGATATTCCCACCAGCGTGGTAGGATTACTGAAAACTTCGTTGCTCTGTTCCCCTTAGCTCTGATCTTCTTCAGCTTAGGATTTTCAAGCACAATGGGGATGGATGACTTCCTACTTGTCTTCAGCGCAGGCCTCGGGTATGCATACCACGGCCGGCTTGAACACGCCTACCAGGTAAATCCCGTGGCCACGTCATTCATCAGCTTCTCTCTCAGCATAGCGACTTTTATCTATTTCGGCCTGATGATCCCTTGGGCTACTGTCGCAGATACACCAAAGTTATCACTGTCGAAAATTGGGATCTTTGTGCTCCTTGTTCTGCTGCTTCGTCGAATCCCTTTCATTGTCGCACTGAAACGATTTAATCCTGATATCAAAACGTACAGGGAGGCGCTCTTCTGCGGTCACTTTGGACCCATGGGTGTTGGTGCTCTGTTTTTGTCCATGGAGGCCAGGGATATTCTTAAATCCTCCTGTTCTCGGAAACAGACGCAGCTAGGCGACGACTGGGACCAATATGCCTGTGAAACTGTGGAGTTGGTTTGGCCAGTTGTTTGCTTTACTGTTTTGGGCTCTGTTATCGTGCATGGTTTGAGCATGAGCATTGCGAAGTTGGCTCGAACTGTGATATGTGCTCAAAGGCAGCATACGAAGTCATTATGTACTGCAGATAACCCTAGCACGAGTTCTGAAAGCATGGATGGTGGAATCTATCATGATGAGGAGAGCCTACTCTAGAGTCGATGAAGCATCGAGAGGTAGATTGGCTTTGCTAGATTGGAAATGTTTGAAGACATTTAGAGGCTATCCTATTTTTTGAGAGTATGCTTTAGAATGAACAGCGAATGTATTCAGTAATAGCTTGCTTCTATCAATAGTCCACCACGATTGGAAGCTATGTAATGAAAGAATCTTTTAACGATTCCCTTTGGTTCTTGCCTGTCTTTTGCCACACGGCATTTGGATATAAAACCAACCCTCAACAATAGTTCAAACTCTAGTGTGTACTGCTATCATACCCCGTCAGTATAACAGTTCTCACGTCGAATTTGAGCATTCGGCTCATCTACCATACTTGAATACCCTGCAGAGAAAGTATTTGGGCATTCAGCCTCATCGATCCTTGTAGAAAAGTTAGATATCTGTGTAGCTGTAGAGCCCTCCTTGACTAAAGCAGAACGTACCGACTAACAAAGGTTCGGCTGATAAATTGGCTTCAGATACATGAAGCTTGGATGAACATTGTATGCTTTCTTTTGTAAACAACACGGATTGTTGCGGATTCGTGAGATATAGGTACGTAGTTTCATCTGTATCTTTGAAGTTCGACTCGAGGCTCTTTTCTATAAACCGCTGATGAATATTTACGTATATCTCTACGATTCATTCATGTGGGAGGGTCTGAGGACTGTAGCCACTGTACAGGTTGGTCAACAGACCGGAGTTTAGCTACACTGTTTTATTGCTTTGTCCTTTCGCAAGAAACTGGGAGTGGTATTTGTACAGTATCATCTCCAGCTAATGTGCAAGATGCTGATATTCACTGTAAATTGAAGTGAAATAATTACATCCGGAGCAAACATATACTGAATAACTGGCAATTTACCAAGTTTTCTAATCTTAGTCCTTTGTCAGAACGCCGACGATAACTGCTCCTCCTCAACCCTAACTAGATTAGACCTCTCTGCTATCTTTCCTGCCAACTCCATCAAGGATGAACTAGCTAAGATTTCCAGAATAGACACAGTACCCTCTATGTGCTTGGAGATCCAGTTACGAAGTTCGACCGCTACATGAGAATCAATTCCGTACTCCGTTATTGGGCCAATAGGGTTGATGCTTTTGACTGGAACTGAGAGATGAGTAGCGACTCGAGCACTTAAAGTTGTATAGATCACAGCCGTAGCATCTTCAAGGGTTTTCGTGGCCTGGAGGTCCTGTCTCAGCGTATCGGGAATTTCAGTCTGAGAACTGACTGTCGTGTCTAGATGGAGTCGACGAAAGTGGGAGAAAAGAGGTGCATCGAAGTTGGGCAGTGATCGAGTTGCTTTCCACTGACCTAGACCGGTAATAATTTGGGAGGTCGTTCTGTCTTTCTCGCAGCTCGTGATTGCTACCTCGATCAATGACATAAGGGTCTTGGTGTCAGTTCCCTGGAATCCTTGCTGCTCCATTTTCAATGCCAGATCTTTGTTCTCGGCTAGATAGCCCGCATCTGTGATCACTCCTAGATCCAAAGATACTGCTGGAAGACCCAAGGAGTTACGATACGCTGCGAAAGAGTCCATAAATGTTGAGCCGGCGGCGTAGGCGGCCTGAGTCGCGTTACCTATTATACCGCTAATGGAAGATAGCATGATGAACCAGTCGAGATGGGATGGGAGATAGCGGTGGAGGTTCCAAGTTCCGTGGTACTTCGGCTTGAGAACCGCAGTGTAGTCGCCAAGAGTCATCTTCTCGATATGCGTGTCCTGCAACCTGTCAGCTTCATACGTGTAGATCGAGCTTTGGGAGAAGGTACCCTCAGGATCATGGCACTTTGGATGACGCCCTGGATTGGCGGTGCAGTTTCTTCAAGATCGTTCATCATCTTCTTAACTTGATCACATTTGGATATGTCGCAGGCATGAATGATGGTTCGAACTCCCTTCTCGTTTAATCCTTGTACAGTTCTTTGGGACGATGCTCCTGGTAGTCCGCTTCTACTGACAAAAACGATTGTTTTTGCTCCATGATCTGCCATCCAGAGTGCTGTCGCGCGGCCGATACCACCAAGTCCCCCGACAACCATGTATGAGACATCTGGTCGGAGAAGCATATCAGGTTGCCTAGGGACGATAGTCTACTGACTTAGTATTTTCCAGTAGAGGAGGGGGACGGTACGAACCTTAACCGTATCACCAATACCAGCTGTGAGTACAACCGGGTCTGGATGATCTGTTTGCGTGAGGACATCCAGCGCTTCGGCAATATCCGATATGCTATAAGAGGTCAGGGACGAGTGACCACGGAGTGTGCCTCGGCGAAGAAGACGCGCTACTCGATCCCAGACCTCGTCCAGCATTTCAGAATTGTTTTTCACCAGGTTCCCAATATCGATAGTCGCAAAAATGATATCTTTGTCAAGTTCTGGCACTTCCCATCTACGCTTCTCAAGTGCGTTACAGGCATGTAATTGAATGAAAGTGCCTGATGTTCCAAAACATCTCCATAATGAACGGAAGGTACGATTGTCAGATTTACCACAATTGACTATCACCTTTACCCCTTTATTATCGGTCAATCGAACGAGATTCTCTAAGTACAACTCGTTATTGAGAAGTATCCGTTCATCTGGCAACAGAGACGAAGAGACCAAAAGTTCTTTGTCTGCTACGCTCCCCACAAGCGCGTATGCATGTGCACCTAATACAGTACATACTTCAATCGCAGCTTGACCAACTGCTCCAGCTGCGGGGCTAATCAACACTCGATCTCCTGGCTTTATCTCAGCGAGACAGTGAGCGGCATGGAAAGCTGTGCAATAAGCTGCGGGTATCGCAGCAGCAGTTTCAAAAGACATATCCGAAGGTATTTTTTGAAATGCAGTTTCTCGGTCTTGGTAGATACTGGCTGCTGTTCCAGATCCCAGACAGGCTACTCTATCTCCAGGCATCAGGTTGCGGACGGCTCTACCGACAGCTTGTACCGTTCCGCTACACCCGAGCCCGATTTCCGTTAAACCTGAAGCCTGGCTGTCTGCTAACTGCGCATCTCGCTCACTCAATCCGACGGCATAGACTTGTATGCGGACCTCAATATCGGAAAGCGTGGTAATCCGGCTGTCATCTATGAAATGAATATCTTCGGGTTGGATACTGTCATTCACCACCACTCGCAGATGTCGTTTCTCTTGATGAAAGGTTTCAACGCTTGTGAGATGCATATCATGAACAGATGCAATCGCTTCATTCAAATGTCGGTTCTCCACAATCCGTGGGACAAGAAGGGCACCACTCCTTTCCGCATACTCCGTATCGGACTCGGCTGACTTACCTCCTAACATACGATGACAAACAAGGTCGTATATGAGTTCAGCCGCTCGATACCCGCAAAGTGGACTGTCAGCATCTAAATCAAGTGTGACAATAGGCTCTACTCCCGTCTCTGAGCGAGCAGTCCGTGCAAAGCCAGTGATTATGCCAGCTTCTGGGTTTACCGGGGTGGTTGTGCCACCACGCGTCACCCAAAGGACGCAGGTCGCTTCTAGAAACATCCGCTTGATAATATCCATTGTTGACTGATTTAGGTGTGCCAGAACTGGTACTTGAAGATTACTCAGGACGACACAAGCCTTTCTTTGCGGCTTGAGATGGGCAAGGTTGGTTGTGTCAACCTGCGATACTGAAGAAAGAAGGTCTCGCAGATGGGGTATCTGTACACCACACTCGCCTTCCTCTGCTACAATAACAACTTCTGACATGAGCGAAGTCTGTTGTCTTGTCGAACGAGAGATAATGACCATATGCTGATCTCCAGATCTGCCCAGTTCTTGCAATTCCGTGAACTGGGCATCCTTAAGACTGGTTATCAAGTCATTGTTGAAATATCCAACACCATCTTGCTTCCACAGTCCCGGCGAATTAGCGAATATCACATACTCAGATAATTTTGGCTTGAATAAAGGATCGCACAGGATCAGATGGCCATTAGGCTTGAGGAGACTATGAATATTGCTCAATGCTTTATGTTTCGATTTGACTGTGTATAATCCATGTGCAACGATCACGACATCGTATTGCTGTATGATAAAACCCTGGGCATCTATGTCTCCCTCTACATCGAGCTCTTTGATTTCCACGCAGTTGTCCCATGCGCAGATCTCATCTCCTGTTGGCCCTAGAAGACGTAGATCTGGGTGTGTTGCGGTATACTTGGTGAACCGAGTAACGCCACCCTTTTCCCTGACGAGCCGTTGGAGGAATCTCTTCGATGCTCCACCCGTACTAGCCTCGATTTCAAGGATTGAGATCATAGGGTTCTTATGGCCGACCAAGTCCAGGTACCTGGAGACTGTTTCATATGCCGGATCATTGTAGACCTTTTCCCAGTACTCATCCCACATGGATTGTTCACCAACCGTTCCAAGGCTGGCCTCGTTCGTCAAATCAGAAGACAGACTTGCCCCCACACTGCAGAGAAGATGACCCTCAGGGCCGGAAGATCTTACTCGCTCGATATCGTCACTGTGGACGTCGCGGGAAATCTGATATTGCTGTGTCGCTATCTCTCTGAAAAATTCGAGCTGTCTTATCCTGAAAGGCTGAAGCGTCTTGATGACCGCTTGATCCACGTGTTTAACGTAATCCTTGATGTAGTATAACGCGCATGCTTCATATAAAGCGTTAGATCCACTATATTGCTTTTTTGACTCCTGACAGGAGGGGACAATGCTCGGTAACGCAGACCCGGTCAGCAAATCGATATCCAAATCCCATTTCAACTCATATGCCAACTGGCCCTTCATTCTCCTTAAGTCTGGAGAAATACTTGGTCCAAGGCGCCTGCACCGTAGACCTGCAATAGAAATTGACGGTCGCCGAGATTCATCCAGAACTGAAATCGAGGCGATGAGATCCCCCTTCCTTGTTCGCTGTGTTTTTGTAACAACATTCAATTTACTGCCAGCTGCATAATCTGTGCGGCACGACACGCACATCTCATTGATCCGAACAGGAACAGCAGGATCATTGATTGCATTCGTATTGATGAAGATTGTGTGAATTATAGTGTCCAAAGTGCAAGGATGTATCAGAAAGGAATACTGGAAATTCATGGGCATCACCGCAGCAGTATCTGGGGTGATGACCTCTGCTACACACGTTGAGTCCTTGAAGCGTGCTTGCTTGATGTTAGCGAAACATGGTCCGTACTCAAGGCCGACACTGGCTAGGTTCTTGTAAAACAATTGGATGTCGAGGGAAGTAAAGTCGTCTTGAGCTGCTTGCTCAAATTCAAGCTCGGATGCGGCCCAATCGCTATTTTGTGCTCCAATCAAACCATTACAATGCTCTGTCCATATGTTTTCCTGCGTGACTGAGTAAATATGAAACTTGTGAGCCTGGTAGGAGCCGCGAGAATTGCTCTCGCATTGACTGAGTATGAGTAGGGTCTCTACAGCCGCTGTCTCGTGAAGAACTAGAGCCGATTGTATCGATATATCACGAATATAGACTGTGGGTATCTGATCGGCGGTGGTATCGTTGAACACATGCTGTAGGAATGCCTCTATCGCCATGACAACATACCCAGCAGCAGGATATACAATATTAGACTCGATTCTATGGTCCAATAACCAGGGATTTTCAGACACGCGAAGAACGTTTCTCCACAAAGGCTGAAAAGGACAAGCCATCCTATCGATGGCACCCAACAGATCTGTCCGGGCATGCTTGCGATTGCGAAAAGCCTTGCTAATCCGAGGCTCCGCCCAATATGAGTGGATGTGACCCCACGCATATGGAGGGAGGTCAACAAGCACGCTTGGTTCCTGGGAAGCTGTAGGATCGTTAATTGCCTGGGAGTCCATAGGATATCCGGCACACATTAATGTAGCGGCAGCGGTTAGAGCAGTTGTAACAGCGTGGCTGTCCCTGGTTAGAACGCTAATGTATAAGATCTCGGCTGCATTGAGTTTCGTGTCATCTCGCAAGGTCTGTTTGATTGGTCCTGCCAGTGTAGCGTGAGGACCAACCTCAACAAGGGCATCCACACTGACCTTTTGGGCCGTACCGGCTCGCTTTATTCGCTTGTTTCCTAGCGTCCTGACGGGGGCCCGCTGGTTAATTGTCTCGAAGCACAAGGCGCGCAACGAATCGACAAAATTCACCTGGCCCAGAAGGTTACTAACCCAATATCGTGAATCTAATTCGGATGGGTTGATCTCTGCCCCTGTTACAGAGGAGAAGAAGGATACAGATCGACTATGAAGATAGTTGGCAATATCCTCACGGCTCCGTGGGCTCACATGCGCTATATGGCCCAAGTACTGCTCCCTAACTAATTCCATGTGGTATGAGTGGTATGCAACTTCTACTGCCAGCCGGCGGCTAAACACTTGCTTTTCGCGGACGATCTGCTCTAATTCATCAATAGCAGGGAGATCTCCGGCAATCGTGACGCTCACTGGGCTATTGATGCACGCTACAACAGCCTTTCCCGATTGAAGCATGTCGAGATACGACTGGCTCTCCTGGACAGACGCCCCCAGCGCAAGCATGGCCCCCCTTATCTGCCCATTAGCGAAAGGCGAGTTACTGACAACCACTCCTCGGTAGTAAGCGACTGTCATGGCATCCTCCATGGTCAGTGCGCCAGTCGCATATGCAGCGGCAATTTCCCCGCTAGAGTGACCGGTCACCGAGTCTGGATGTATTCCCCAAGATGCCAGTAGATCAACCAGGGCTATTTGAAGGGCAGAACATATGGGCTGGCTAAAAAGGGGGTTGCTTAACCGCGAGGCTTCTTGATTCTTCAGGATCTCTTCTATTAATCTTCATCAGCGGATGCTGGTCATGATATGAAGGGAATCCTGGTAAGGGGTAATACCAGATTAACGTACCCACCATACAGTAAGGAGCACCAATGGATTTCATATAGTCATCGATTCTTTGGATTGACTCGTGGAATACCGGGTATGCCTCAAGTAGCTCCTTTCCCATTCCAGCCCACTGTGCACCTTGTCCCGTGAATATGAAACCGATACTTGGTCGCCGACGAGCTTTAACCATTTTCATCCGATCAGATAATGCTTCTGCTAGTGTCGCAGGGGAGGTTCCCACAATGGCAGCTCGGCAGGCATGGATCGTACGGCGTTCGTTCAACGTATAAGCTAGGTTACTCATGTATCTGTCATCTGCTTCAGATCTCTCCTTGAGGAGATATTCTCGAAAGTTTTGAAGCTGCCTTGTGGTGGACCTCTCATCAAACCCAGAGAACATGTAGACTCGAGATCGTGTAGGGCAAGCTTGGTTGGCATCGATAGCATGCTCGCCGTATCGCACTATACGTCTCAGTCCACGACTGTAAAGATAGCCTGATGCATCTTCGAGTATGGCATGCGCGTTACTCCCCCCATATCCGAAGCTGTTCACAGAAACGCGATGTGGACCCGGGTATTCCCACGGCTCCGCAGATAATTGTATCTGCGGCGGGCTTAATGACTATACCAGATGAAGGTATTCAGAATACTTACCTTTAGTTTCCAGTCTTCGCATCGGATACGAGGGTTGACCACTCGAAAATTGCGGTTGGGAAGAAAGGTCCGATTCTCGAGCATCAGGACGGCTTTAATAACGCCAGCAACTCCGCTCGTGCCCTCGAGATGGCCAACGTTGGTTTTGATGGACCCGACTCGTAGGGGCCGCATGGGACTTCGGTTATGGCAAAATACCTTTGCGAGAGCTGCCGTTTCGATATGGTCGCCTGCCTGAGTTCCAGTACCGTGGGCTTCGACGAAGTCGGTCTCGCATGGCTCGAGGCCAGCCACCTTGTAGACATGACGCATCAGAGCTTCTTGCGATGCGCCACTCGGTAAGGTAATTCCGGGGGTTCTGCCGTCTTGGTTCAACCCAGAGCCTCGGATTATGGCGCGAATGGGGTCGTGGTCTTGAATGGCATCTCTTAGCGGCTTAAGGATCAAACACCCAATACCCTCGCCTCGGGCGTATCCGCTGGCATTTTCGTCGAACGTATGGCATCGTCCATCCGTGGAGAGAAACCTGGGTATTGGTTAAATATGTCTAAATACAACGAATCTTTCCTACCAACTTCATCATAGTCATCGTCGACATGAACTCGTGGCTAAGAATCACATTGACTCCCGCTGCGACGGCCATGGAGGCATCACCGGTCCGAAGACTTTGACATGCCAGATGGAGAGCTGTTAAACTACCCGAACAGGCGGTATCAACTGTAACACTAGGGCCTTTCATGTCGAAGAAGTACGACACTCGGTTCGCCATCATGGCTCTGGACTGCCCCGAGTTTGTGCACTGATACATTGGAATGCAGTCAGGATCGCGGAGGAGAAGGTCGGTGTAGTCGGTGTTGAAACAACCAACAAAGCAGGCTGTTGAACTGCCCATAATCTTTGCCATCGGGATACCAGCTATGGGCTGTGAGCGTGTACTCGGGTACGAGGACAGCATGGACGTACCATTTTCGAAGCCTTCGTAAGTAACCTCAAGTAACAGCCGCTGCTGAGGGTCCATCGCCTAAGGGCTGAGGTATTAGAAAACCAATCCGGACCCAGTGGTCGCTTGAGTTTACCTACGGCCGCCTCGTCGCTTGTCATGTTGAAGAATGGTGCATCGAACAATGTCACATCTTCTGCTAGGAAATGTCCGCCTTCAACGTTGATCTGTGAGTGTGTCTTGTTGTCAGCTCTATGATGGTCAAATCCTTGAAGAATATGACGGTACTTACTGTTCCATGTCGTGAGTGGTCCGGATGATAAAAGGCATCGTTATTCCATCGTAACTTTGGAATCGGACTCCACGCTTCCCGCCCTTCGAGAATCATCGTCCATAATTCCTTGACATTGGTGGCACGGCCAGGCCCTCTGAAGCCCACCCCGACGATTGCAATGGGCATACATAGATCTTCTAATAGGATGGACAAGTCATCTTGGTCTAAAGAAGTTGGTTCTGAAGTTTGAGTGGAGGATGTCGGGATGGCGGGCGGACTATGTTCAAGGGAATCGGCTGTCATGATGGTTCAGCGACCCATGCATAGTAGCTAGAATAAAGTCACAAACATAGGGGTACACATTGGATCATGGGCAATACAGGCGCAACTGATTTGAAATATACGGTGTACAATAATTCCGTTAAGATCCGGTGCCAGTGTTGCACATCACAATGTCCCGAACTACATCCGCTGAGATCACCGAATCACTCTATTGGACATCTGATGATCCTCATTTGACTTTTTACTCATCGTTTCAGGATATATCTCATGTTATGTGGACAGGAGTTCAGAAGCAAGAAAGCATAAGCTAAAGTCGAAAGGTCACCAAATTGCCAGCGCTTGAATTGCCAATTTCCTGATTGCTGCAGCGATGGAGGAAACGTTCTTTGTATCTACTGGGATATCGTGACCTTTGCTGTGCACCACCCAGGTCGACATGGATGGATTGCACAGCTGATACAATGCAAGCGAGTACTCAAGCAGTGGATCTTCAGCCCCGCCAATAGTCACTGTTGGGACGTTGATGTACCCCTCCAGATCTGGATCGATCACTGGATCCCCACCTGGATCCATCCGGAATGGTGGGAGGGAGTTAATGAAGATAGCACAGCGAAACAAAGGTAGTTCCTGCGGGTACGACTTTGCACGGTGGATCAAGAATCCAGCTGCCAAAGTGCCTCCATGGGAGAAGCCAAGGACCCCATCGAAAGGACCTTCCTCTTCTACAGCGTCATAAAGACGGTCGTACGCACTCAGTAAAGACTCTCCCTCGGTGTCATTGTCGGAAATGGACCGGGGAAACTTATAATAACTGTAGTAAGGACCGTCGTAGAAGCCCGAGATCCCCGGGCCTGGAATCGAATCCACATCGCCCTCAAGAAAGTGGAACGTCACCGTATTATCGCGACGAAGATCGGTCATTAGACCATCTATTTGTTAAGCTGATTGGTTTGTTCTAAGGCACCGTAGCACGTACTTAGCTGGGTCTGCAAGATCTAGCACACATAGGTGAGTGCCACAAGCCTCGGCCATGCAGTAGATTTGGCTAACCTTGGTATTGGTGCCCCAGCCATGGAGACAAAGTATTTTGAGAGGCATAATCACTGGTGTCTTTACCACAGGTAACCGCCAATCGGTGATAGGTATAAAGCCAGTTGGAAGAGTATTTGTATCTCGATATCAAAAACCATCTTACTCGCATGAATGCGATGCTCATGAGGCAGGTAGACGTCAAAAGTCCCCGTATCACCACGGAACATTTTCTTGAAAATGTCAACGGTCACACATCCCTGTTTGCTTTCTAGGTCTCATGAATCCTAATTGAACTTATTGACAGCCATGCGCTTTCGTGGTAACCTCCTAGAATCAGTAGGTGAGCTACTCTCTATTTTGAACAGCAATGCATGGTCAAATAGGGAGATATTTCCATCACGTAGCAAAACCTTCTCTAATGCAGATCCCATTTTCGTACATCTACTTCCAGTGAATCAATAATAGAGATATGGACAAGTTTCAAGAAAAAGTAAGAGAATGCAAAGAGACACATATGCCGCTCCTAGTATGCATGACTGCCTCGCACACTAACTATTCCGTATAAAAGTCCCTTATCCCGGTGGCGTTCTTTTGGTCGAACTGCGAGATATTAGAAGAATTAACATAGAAAACAATCGGACAGAACCTACTCATTGACAAGTGAATGACAACACTGCCCATTTCTGCAACGCCGCAGAATCGGAAATATTAAACCTTTCATCCAAGGGATATCTTTAGGGAACTTATCATTGTAAAAACCTTGACATCTTTTCTCACTTGAGCATGTATCCGAAATGCAGCTTTTCCGGAGAAGGTGTAGGATCCGTAACGTAGTCGCGTTTTCCCGGTGCAGAGGAATTATCTAACCAATGGGCCGTGTCTTGCTCTATAGAATATTAGAAGAGTTAATATAGAGAATAAACAGTACTTACTTATTGAGAGTTTTGACCAGTAATCCACTTGTGTACTGTTAGACCAATCTATATCTTGGCCTAGGGGATATCCTTTAGGGAACTTTTTATCAAAAAGCCCTTCACATCTTTTATTACTCGAGCATATATCCAAGCCGCAGCAATGGGAATCTATTCACAAGGTCGACGACATACTCGGCTGAATAAACGACCCTCAGGCTTATAGATTTTAATATCCAGAAGTGGGGGATCCTTAACGTCGTCCTGTTTTTCCACGCCGCTGGGCTCTTTAGTGAAGGGAGGGCCTATATCTACAATAGAAGTCAGCCAATATGAGCGACAGTAGATGCCAAGACACTACAAGTAGCGAAGGAGAAAGGTGGGAAAGCCGTTGACCTTGGCTGTTACCTGCAACTGCAGCGGTCGTGAGGCTGGCGAAGGCAGTCAGTAGAACCAGAGGGAGCTTCATCGCGAGCAACTCGGGCCACGCGCAAGTGGAGGTGTAGGCTATGTCTCAAAATCCTGTTTTAAGATAGATGATGAAGATAGTCGACTAAACAGTGTTGGTGTGTGGTGGACAGGATTCCAATGGCCAGAAAAGGGGCAACCTCGAGGGACTTTATCATCCAGACCGAGGAATGTCCACTTTTTCCCAATTACCGCCATGGTGCCCCATCCGATTCAACCTTCTCTATACACAGATCTAGATCCACATCCCAAGCCTGGGAGTTGCTAAAAATATAGATCCCTCAGCCTATAGCGGTCTGAGCAGCGCTTATTCATCCCGACAGACAAAGGCTTCAGAAAGAGAGGCACCAGGCGCCCTGAAAAGTTACTCCAGAGGTCGTCTTTGTCGGTTGATGTCAGAACAAAGATTGAGTTCCCCGGCATGACTTGAGCGAAGCTTTCTGGTTTCATCATCTTTGTCCCATAAACCTTATGCAGTGCCCCGTTGTCCGCTCCGGTAATTGTTCCTGGCATATCTACTCCATACGGCGGACTTTTATCTCTATCAATGACGAGATAAAGAAAAGCGCACGAGCAAATAAAACGGAACAAGCAGCCATGGCTTCCCCCATGTAGCCCCAAGATGTGAGAAGTGATCCCAGCCTTCCCGTTATCATCTCTATACTACGTAGCCATGGCGGTTCACTGTTTTCAAGTCGAATCAGCGGATGGTCGGCCCAAGTTATGAATGACGCTAGTATGGAGATACTCAATTATTGTGATGTTAGTATCAAGACGGAAATGCCAACCGTAAAATACGTACGGATGCAATATCAACTCCTTGGATCCTCTTCCCCGGCCCCCTGGGAATGTTAGTCATATAAGTCCAATATCCCACCAGCATCACATACTCTACTATCATACTGTGCTCCGCTCCACTCCAGAGATCGCCGCCTTATCGTAAGAGTTAATATTAGTATAGGCAATCCCATTTTTATCCTCTCTACTAATGTAGGCAAATCAGATACGGCACCTTAGGCAAGGCTATACACCGAATTGAACCCCACTACTTCTAAATAGCCAGCTCTTGTGTCCAACCGGGGGGGTGGGGGGAAGGGGGGGAAGTCTCAAACGCAAAATTAGATGACTAAGAAATACACATACGAAAGGGGAACCTGAGAGGCAATGATAAGAGATAATATAGAAAGAATGATAGGAGAAAGGAGAAACCAGGCAAGAGAAACAAGTAAAAGCAGAGAAGAGGACCGGCCTACGAACATATAATCTAACAAAAGAAATACACAAGCACACCAAAACGCAAAATTGACCACCCCTCCATCTCAGATGGTTCCCGTATCGCAGATAGCTCTGCTAGTGGTCGCCGTGGGGGTACCCCCTGTAGAGTGTAGCGGCACCTCGAACTCGCTGGGTTCGCGACCATACCTCCTAGGATGTAGCTGAGTTGCGATACCCTTTTTGGCATTTCGCTTTATTCGTAAATAGACAAGAAACGCACCTACCATGACCCCCATGACGGCCATAGTGATGCCAACACCGAGTCCCGCTTTGGCTCCTACCGAGATGCTATTACTTCTGGGTATAGGTGCTTGTGTTGACGTAGAAGACATTGTATCGAATGAGCTTGTCGCAGTGGCAGTAACAGTGGTGGGTCCAATTCCAGGGTGATTGATATTCCAACCTATCACGGGAACCGCATGAACATCCGTAACCTTTGTAAATTCGGTCGTCTTGAAGGCCCAGCCCGTGGACTTAGAAATCTTGTAGGTGACTTTAGTTTCAGAGTGGATGGCGGATACGCAGTCTATGAAATCCTTTGATAATAAGGTATATTGTCTCCGACCTAGGTTAGCATTAGATATACCTAGTAAGGAGTTCACTTACGGGGGATAGTAAGCAACCCCTGTTCTCGATTGGTATAAAACAGAAGTATATACAGAGACGCCAGAGTTGGTAGGGCTAGCCAGAGGGCCAAGCCACTTCTCGGTTGTGAGACCATCGGGCCCTGTTTCGCTATCTGCGTCATACCACTCTTCAACTTCCGGTAGCACACATTTCTTATCTGCAGGGGCATATTCAGTGTATCCTGGATCAAATGCCAGCAGTTTGTCGTCGGACATTAGAAAGATGTTCGAGCACTGAGGATTCCAACCCCAAGGTGTGGCGAGTGGTCTATATGTTACGGCAATCTTGGAAATTGTTTCAGGTGGGTATGATGTCAGTGTCATTGGCTGAGAGGGAGATGGCTACCGCAAAGAAGAGCTTTGAAGAAAAAGAAAAGGGGCTAAAAGGGAGAAGAAATGAACGGTTAGAACAAGATGCAAAATACAACTTTTGAAAAAGTTCGGGAATCTGATGAGAAGAGAAGGAAATCTTTATAACCTCTTCCAAGCCCGAAAGGTAGGTAATGTTGTTCCTGGTCGAGCAAAACAGGGGCAAGTATAGTGAGCATAGGGTCCCACGAATAATTACTTTAGATCGCTGAGGCTGGCCTGGCATCTAGCCATTTTCTACTAATTTCCCATATGCAACAGCGGGTACCTACAGAGAACACCATTTCGGAGAGTCACCATGAGACACGTGCCTACCGTTCTCTTCTTCAAGCAGCTCACAAACAAGGGCATGAGACACCTTGACTACTTCTGCATCACCGGGCTGGGAGGCAGTGGATATGATGGCAACCCCATCATTAGAAGCAAAAGCTTTAGGATATTCCTTCGTTGGGCTCTAGATAGGTTTTGGGTCACCCGGGAAGAGGCATTAAACCCCCAAGCCACGAATCCTATGGCTCCAACCCATCCGCTTGTCATTGGCTGACCTGAAGGACCTGATGTTCCTAGCAGCTAGTCGAATCGTTTTCACTGGCGGAGGGCGGCTTTGGTAAATCGCGTTTCTAGAATTCTGTATGTCTCGGCCGAGCACCATTCATCTCCTTCTGTGTATGCATCCTTGAGCCTCCTATAGGCCAGAACTCTTCTACTACAGCAGGCGAGCGAGAACACCTCGTGATCTCCTTCCGCTATCAAATCAGAGCGGGTTTGAAGATGTCTTTCTTTGTCGGCCAAACTGGTAATGTAGTCAGCCATCATTTATGGCCCGGAAATCCAGCAAAACCCAGCAAAAATGGCTTATACAATTAGGCATCAACCCTAAGGCCCGTCTGAAGTCTTACACCGCCAAACTTTTTTTTTCGCCGCAATGATTCAGTAGTTGAAACAACCACAACTCAGGTTTTTGTAGAGGCGCAAGATCCTTCATGGCCAGTGGAAATGCCTGTGCGAAGCATACCTAGCGTGAAGTTATTCAACATCGATTTACGCCATAATATGCCGTACCCATATTGCGGCAATATTGACAGTGTAGGGCTGGCCCTATGCGTTAGGATATAACTGCATACCTAGTACACTGTAGTGTGAGGGTTTCTAGCGAGTAAATATTGTCCCTAGGTGTTTTTCTGAGTTTTCCATCTCGCACTCGTGGTGCTAAGTGCGCAAGAGATCGACAGCTGAGGGGAATTCCAGGGTTAGGATCAGCTTTCTTTCTTCTGTGGCTTCTAAAGCGAAGCAAGACATATACGAGGCAGCGAGGGAAATATTTGGAAGACCGATTCATAGAAAAAAAGCAAAACAATCTTGGGGTACACACCAGACCCGTCGCTTAGTGAAGCCAAGGCTCCCCTATCTTCAGAGTTAGCTCCCAAAAA